AATTTGAAGTGATATTGGAGACATAATACGTAAGTTTGCAGCCTACTTATAGTAGAATTTTCCCATGATACTGAGATAGTCCACATACATTTCAAATTATTCGAGATAATATAAAATATTTTGTTATATTCACCAACATAACAAAATTTATCTCAATTTGTGTGAGTCTTCTTCATTTTCTAAATCTTGTTCCTCTATATTTACTTCTACATCATTATTGTCTTCTTCTTCACTTTCTTCATCATCGTCATCTTCTTCTTACCTTCCTTTTCTTCTAGAGATTTGTCCAGTATAAGTAAATTTTTCATGTTTTCATTCATATTTTTATATCTTTCTGAACATTCTTTATAAAAGTTACTAATAAATGGATCGGAGCTCAGTAATAGTCTTTTAAATAAATCTTCATTTGTTTGAAGTCTACCACATTTTCTTGTGTGACACTCTCTAAATCTGCGTACTTGTTTGTTTTTTGCTTCTTGATAAATAAGATCCACAATTATGTGTTAAGTAATCTTTGACTGCCAATTTTTTGGTTAAGGCGCACGTTGACGCAAGATTTCTTTCTTATGCTATGTACACCATACCTTCAGCAATAAAAAAATGTTAGCTACAATTGTTCGATTTTGTTCGATCGCAAGATATTTAATTTAAAAGATTGAATGGTCAAAAAATATATGTATTTATTGACGTCAATAGAAAGGTTGTAATTTTTTTCAACAAACATCTTTGAAATTTGGAAAGGCGTAAAATGAAGACCTTTCTGTACTTTATAAGAAACCAACGACACAATATTTTCAAGTAGTGATATACCATCTTTTTTGTTTTCTAAAAAATTTCCTTCTACAAAATAAGGTAATTGTAATAGCAATTTATTTCGCGCAGTAGCTATTATAAAACACCAAAGACTTCATAAGTTTCACTAAGAGTCTATTAATAGTTAAAATATATGTAACATTTAAAAAAACAACACTATAAAATTTGTTTTTCAATTGATTTTCGATCGGGTTTTGAGTGTTTTCGGACCACTGTGCGCCCTTATCTAAAAAACAAAAAAGTTAGAATAAAAAACGCTCATACGCGACAGTCAATGATCTGCGTCATCATTGACTGAGAGTGATTGAGGTTGGAGTGCAAATTATAAGTGACATTTAAATATTATAAGTATGAATAAAAGTTGCAATATGCATCGCATCCAAGTGTCTAATGCTGTTATTTATTTTCCACTACCATGCATACTCTTCACCCTCGAAAAGTTCATACGAGAGGCACAATTATCAACAAAAGCGTGCAAACACTTAGCTTTTGCTAACATGGTGGGTGGTTTTTGTGTATTAAAGAAAAGAGTGCATAAAAATGAGTTAAAATTAAAGCCAAATCAACCCCATCAACAAGACAACTGCAAAAGTGGCCATAACAGAGCACTTTGGAGGAGAACATAGATCTGTCACTTCGACAAGAAAAACAAGATGTTAAATAAGTAAAATCTTAATACAACCGACTCTATGGTATGGATCCGAAGGTTGGGTAATGTCCAAAAATTACGATAGATTGGTAACAGTTTTAAAAAGAAAACATGGTCAATGGTGAAGGCGCTAACATCAAATAAGTATAGGATACAAGATATCTAGACAACATCAAATTCATAAAATTCGAAGGGTTATAAGAATTAGAAACGAAGGAACCCCCAAATGAACTACTAAGCAGGATTAGATCAATATAGAAGCAAGATAGGGAAGAGCACAGAATGGCGGAGGCTCTTCGTAGAGGCTAAGACCCACAGAAGATTGTCATGCCACTGATGATGCATCGACTCCAAGTTCTGGTAAAGAGGATACAGAATAAGAGTATACAAGGAACTGGGATGACATTGCAAGGTTGTGTCAGGGTCTTGATATCACGAACTCATTTAATACAAATTACTGAAAGATTCTTAATGGATACGGTTCAATGTAGATTTAGTCGATGAAATAGATTAACAGAAAATTAATACAATACTTATTTCGTAGTGTTCATCCAATCTGTTGTCTGAACGGATTTGTGACAAATGTTAGCATTGGATTTAATGGTGGTAGTTTTTTATAAACATTAAGCTCGTCATTACTCTAGTAATTACAAAAATGATATTTTAGGTTTAATTCTTTAGGTTATTCTTTTTTATCACTTTTCGATTTTATCATTTCAATACTACTTGCGATTGCTGCTGATAAAGACGATAAAACGTTGACATTGACATTTGCGAAAGTTTTTTACGTTTTAATATTGATTAATCAAGTAGTGCCACATGTATATTGATAGTAAATTTAGTTTTTGCCGTAAGTTTTTCTTTTTTCATTTAGGTTATACAATTATAACGTAACTTAAATGTTTATGACATCTTTTCAGGATTTGTGAGGTTGCGATAAACATTATCTTGTTATATTTACTGAATTTTTAGCAACTCGCTGATAAAAATTTGTTTAAACAAAAATTAAAATCTGTTTTAAGGCGTGTTTACTACATATTCGTACAGTAACAGCTTCATTTTGTTTTTAAAATAATTTCTAATCTATGTATTATGATGTAATACATCAATGTTATTTAGTTAGACAAAATTAATAGCATTTTGTTGTATTATAATTGTAATGATTAATTTGGATTCTTAAAAGATCATGTAGTGTACGAATGATTAAGATTATGCATTGGCGGAAATTTTACAAAAAGATCTGCACACGCTACTTTATTTTTTGCACAATGCACCAAAGATAATAAATCGTTGAGAGGTTAAATGTTAGTAAGATCTATTCGCAAAACAAATTGATTATGAAATGTATTAAATATCAACTTCGTATATTCTATTCGAGAATTCAAATTAATTTCGATTCGAATGTTGAGAGGAAACAAAAATGTTGATAAGAAAATTTAAACATAATATGAATATTTTTATGCATTTTTTGGTTAATTAACTTTTAAGAGAACTTGGCAAAACATGATTTGTTTTGTATTATTAATCATATTAAGCAAAACAACTTGTGCTTAAATTATATGTTTGTTAAACTGATACTATTTTATAAATAATTTTCATTGATAAAACAACTATTTTTTAAATTTCTAATACTTGATTTAAACTTGCATAAAACAGCAAATTTGATTTAAATATAAAAAACTTAAGATCGATTAAAAAATCGTGTTATTAGGCCCCCAGACGGTTATTATTTTATCAATGTTATTTTCTGATATTGATCTACCAAAAAGCTATTATTAGATATGTCTAAAACGAATATCAAGTGTGTGACCACACGAGTTGATTGCACTTAATAATGTGTCAATAAATTGTTATTACATCATAAATTTTATCCTGAGCACAAAAATTTTCCGTGCATTTCTTAAAAGAACTAAGTATGTAACTAAAATAAGGCTTGTGATGAATAATATCTAAATTAACAATTTAATTTTTTATTATCACAAAAATAAAAATGATTTTTGAGATAATTTTTTATAAATTACAAGTTCCAAGTTCAGTGACTTGCGTACAAAAATTACGTAAATTTATCGTTATAATGAGCAAATCAGTGATGATTTGAATTGATAATAAATCTAATAATTAATCTGATTTTTTGGAGTTACCTTTGGACTGTTTCAAAAATACTTAAGTGTTAAAGGTCAATTATTCTAAATATATTAGCAACAATATTTTTGTAAAAAATGCAGCATTGTATAAATTAAATTAGATAAAAGCGTAAATTTATTACTTTTAATTTGGCCATTTTATTCTGTGTTACGTGGATTTAGGGAAATTCAGCCGATTAATTCTGCTTTTTATTTTATCTTTTTATTTGGTCCGTGGAATTCATTGTGAGTCTTTTCTCGTTCAATAATATCGGTGGGATTACCGTTGTTGCAGATCTCGCTCTTTTGGTATGTAGGATAGAAAATTTGTGGATTTGCAGTCTGAGTTTTCTGGGTGACAAAATATTTTGCTGTTTAGTAATAGTTAAGTTTTTGCGATTCCTTTCCCCCGAAGTAGCTGAAAAAATGTAAACCCAACACTTGACTCTGAATGATCTCTATATTTTTGAAGCAGTACATTTAGCCCAAATAGTTGTTAAATTTGGATTTTTTTATCAACTGGTTTCTACAGCTGGTAGTCAAACAGGTAAACTTGATGGATTTACACCTTGATTAAATATTAAATAATGTCTTGTCCCATGTAGTTGTTTTCGTCATCGAGTTGAATACACAGATAGTTGTTAATTTCGCTATATTGGGTGTCTAAATCTACTCGAAAATGTTTTAACCTTAACAAGTTCCTGAAATTAGAACATTTAATTTTAGCATTAAGCTTTTCAACTAAGTCGGTTAAGTACCTCAATTTCATCATGACTAAATGATCTCGAAACTCATCATAGTGAATTAAGTGCTCTCATGTAAGAATTACTCTCTTAACTCGTAAACATATCAAAAAAGAACAAATCAAATTAGAGCTATAATTTTATAACTTTTGAAAAGATTGAATCAAAGATTTCAAGGTGATTGCTTTATTCACCTAGTATTTTTACTTTACTTGTTTTATCAATTCTGCTTTTTATATTCTAATTAAAACCCTTTACAAATATTTAATTCTTAATAAACATTATAATTTACACCGACTTTTAAAAACCATTGTTACATCACTTTTCATCGTGATAAAACTGTTTGTTTTATCCAATTTTAAACCATTTTGTTTTATAACAGTCCTTGATTTTAATTCCTTTTTAAATTAATCGCTCGATATCGATTAATATAAATCATACACTCGGCAGTCTTCTTGTTATAATAATCGTATATCGATCGATAAAAGTTGTATCTGTCGAACTATTTACACGAAAAACCATTTTATCTCCTCCACTTTATTTATTATTTCGGTCTACGTGTTATCGGTGTATTTCGACGGACGGTGATAACGATGAGGATTCTCCTCTTTTTAATACATGTTGCATTCGTTTTGACCCCCACTCTCTTTTGGCCGAAACAACACTTCTCATCTTTGGCCAATTCGGCACTCACCGCAAATCGATTCACATGTTCATTGTGATTAGATGAATTATAGTCAATTTAAAATCAACCGAGTGTTAAGTTAGATACCTTTTTTCAATTATATAATTAACATTCAAGTGAATTAAAACAATTCGTGTTATTAAGTGAAAAATAAATAAACAAACAAATCGTGTTTAAAAAACAGTTAAAATTTCAAAAAATGCCAGCTACTTATAATTCTTTAAGTCCTGGGGAGATGAGCATATCTGATAATGAAGTAGATGGCACCGATTACCTTTTAAGTAGCACCATAAGATTTGAAGAAAATTTATTTCATGTACTCGGTGAGTTGACAACAAATTCAATTTTGGTTTTATCATCGTGATTTTGAAGTTTCTTTTATCTCGTGTTGTTTTTTTTTAATAATCGCTAAATGGTTATGAAATTCCATAACAAACTTTTTCTGCTTGGGGTATATTTTTAAATTTTTTATTCAAAAAAGGTCATTATTACAACCTAATAGTGTAATTTTGTTATCGTAAAATGTTTATAGAGCACTCTAGCCGCCAATATCGGTGTTATCTCCCTGCAAAACATACGAAATTCAACAATACAACGTTTATCACGAGTTTAAGATATGTGTATTTCGAAATTGTATATCGTTGAGAATACGAAGAACTAGATGAAAACACGATTTTAATTGATTTATTGGTTGATTTATGATTTCTAGTTATTTATCTTAAAAAATATGTAGTATATCTTTAGTAAAAACTATAATTTTAGTTTTATAGATAGTGGCTGTCATAATAAGATATTTTGTAATCATCTTTATAATTTACGATCTTTTTTGATTTATGTAAATCAAAAATGCCTTAAAGAATAAAAATGTAACCGGTTAAGATTATCACAGTCGAAATTTCACGAAGTTATTCGCAACAACTTCAGGAACATTATCATATTCGTTTGAAGCTCGTATATCTTTTCTAATTCCTTTTATTGTTTATTGATTTTAAATTTATTGAACTAAAATGTCGAAACTGATTGGTAGAATGAAATAGGATAAGAGTTGGGTTTTGAGTATCAAGTTTTGAGTTTCTTAATTATATTACTATAAACATGTAATAGACGATAAATTAAATCTATGAGACACATTGAGAATAGCTAAAGAGAGGTTGAGAATAAAAAGAGTAAATGCTTGCTTTCTGTGGTTGAGTTTAAACCTTGAAAAACTTTTCGGTCGGACTAAATTTTGAAATACTTTAAATTCAGGTGTTCAGGAAAAATGTTACAAGCATCGTAATCATTATCAGTACTATTATGCAAGTAGAAGAAGCTTAAGATATGAGCTCTGACAATTTTAACATCTTAATCACGCGCAGCGGCAGCATTATGCAAAGAGAATTAGCATCTTGTAAATACACTGACAGGATGGAAATCTGTATTTAAGTAAATAAAGCAGCAAGAATATCAGGCTACTTAAGAGACCTTGTATAAAGAAATAAATGTCAACAGAAGGAAAAATTGGAATCTACAAGTCAATTATGAGATTGGTTTTAATACACGGGACGGAATCTCGGGCAAAGACTTTTAAAACAAAAAGTCTACTTACAGTATAAAAATGCGAGCATTGCGGTCGATTAGAAAAGTAACGTGACGTGACCAGATTATGAGTGCACGAGAAGAACTAGATATCCAGGATATTATTAGATTCACAAAATCAAGAGCAAGATACTGGAGAGATGATATATCATGGCGATAGAATGTAAAACGAGAGATGATAAAAGATGCCCTGAAAGTTGGACACAAAACTTTGCCTTAATTTTTTTTATGAGCCTTTCGCTTCAATCTTTTAATATTTGCCCGGCGCAACAGATTTTTTGCCAGTCGGTTAGATGAATTTGCTGCCTTTGCAGTTGTGATGGAACGGATAGTGATTTTGTGAAAAGCCGGATACGGATTCGGCCGGATATCCGGTGATCCAGCATATCTATCCGGCCAAGATGGTTATAATTTCTGGTGCATTTCTGATGTGATACCCTAGATTGCCACATTTTTAATAACAAAGCTGATAAGATATGTCAATTTATTTGGATCCAACATACAAATAGAACTTTTTCGATGCAGATTTAACAAACGGAGCAACTGAAAGTGATAACAGCGGCAGTTCTGTTAGTAATGAATGTGATGTTGAATTACAAGCAAAGAGAAGAAAACTAGACGAAACTGCAACAAGAGATTTTATATATTGTATTGGGATTGTTACAACCATGAGGTTGCTAATGACAAACCTGAAATAAATAAAGTTGTATTAAATGAAAAAATCCTATTAGAGTTGAACTTGATTATTATCTGCAGTGTCCAACACCTAAAAAAGATACTAATTCCTGTGAATGGTGTAGTACTAAGGTTTTGAATATCCGGCCAAAGCCTGATAGTTACCGGATATCCGTTCCACCACTACTTTGCAAGTACTTGGAACTTCGCTGGGCATTTACTTCTTTTACAGTAAGCATATTGAGGTCTCGAAAGCCTGTAACATGTCTAAAAAAGCTGCTGCACAATATTTTTTGGCTTCTTAAGCATTTCTAGACTATCTCACTACTCTGTGCACTTGTTCTATAGTACCATGCTGTTTTTTAAACCCAAATTGATACTTAGGAATTAACTTTTTGTTTACTATGATGCTCTGAAGTCTCTCCAATAAGAGCTTTTCAAACACTGTTGAAAGCAATGGAAGTAAACATATTAGGCGGTACCATAGTTATCTGGGACACCTTCCATTGGGTAGGGAATGATCCTAGTCTTACGATTGCGTTGAAGATAAGCAGTCTTTGTATTAATAAAAAAAGAAAAAGAAGAAATTTATTTTCTTTTGTTCTGTTAAAACTGTGCCAGAATCAATACACTATAAAATAATTAAAAAGTCATGTATTAGAAGATAACAAATCATTAATCTTTAAGAAATTATTTCTTTTTTGCAATTTAAATTGAAATTTTTATCGAGTAATGTACACTATGTGCTGATTCATAATCCAAGATAATAAGAAAAAAAGTAGAAACACAACTCATTAGAAGATAACAAATTGTACGAAAAAGATTATTGGGCTATTAGTCAAGTAGAAAGAAACTAAATGAAGGAAAAACAAGATAAACCCATAACATTCTTTCATGATATATGTATGTCAAAAGCAACTCCATTCGAACTAATATTTTCCACACTCTGTATTAATTAGCATTTTAAATAGACGTATGATGACATTACATGCGTACTTAGGCCAATTAAAATAATGGGTGCTGTCAGGCTGTAAAAAAAATAAAGAAGAAATTGCCCACCTGAAGGTCAGTTAAAAATAACATGAAATTACAAAACGTTATTTTCGAAAAAAAAACAAAAATGTGTAACATTTTAATTTAATTAAGTTTTATAAACATGTTCTTATCATTGTTTAATAAAAATCTTTTGCTATATTAGGTAAGGGTACTGACACTGCTTCGTGATAACATAACCTTCAAATAACACGTTTTGAACGGCTTGTATGTTTAATTTTTTTGTTCCTATACTTTATTCTGTATGCTTGGTAATTATTTACCGATTTAAAACAGCAAAAAGTGTTTTTAAGTACTGATTTTTTGATGAGTCACTATTTCCCTATATCATTTCCGCTGTGTATATGATTATTCATGAAATGATACGTTGAATGTGATACGTTTTCGATTGTATCTTTATAAAAAATTGCGGTCTTGCATTTTAAAATCGATTAATTGTTTTATTTGGGAGAAAGATTATTGGTTTGAGCTTGCTTGGTTGTAAATTAAAAAAAAAGAACTTTACTGGATTAAACTTGGTGTATTAAGATAAGATAAATAAATTTAACTCCGGTAGTAAAAAATAAAAAATATGTTCTTGGGAATTAAAATATAAATTTGAAGGTCAAATTTAAATTCTAAATTGAAAATGAATTATTTCGATAACTGTTATTGTTTGAATTGAAAAGTTTAAACACTTTACTTCAAAAATAATTTCTTTTGTAATCTTAATTTGGATTACAAACAAAACATTGTTATGTCGTCAAATATCACGTGGAGGGTCAAATAATCTACACGCTTTTGTGTTATAAATATAAAAAAAGAGATTACAATCATCGCGCACTCTCAAAAAATTATTGAAACGTAATTAATCGGTTAATATAAATAAATTCATTTTGAGTTTTTATTAAATTTTGCAAGGAAGGTGTGTCCTTATCTCCGTTTCAGGTGGTAAACCTAATAAAAATGTGCAAAAAAAATTTAAAATTGAAATAATAAAGGAGACATCTTGAACTTTGACGCCACCAACGAGTCGAGCCCTCAGTGGTCGAAATATTCAATAAACTACGCAATTTATCCACTCAAATTGATCCATTGTTGTAGGAAAATCACCAAGTGTACTTGTCGATTGATTACAATGATTAGATAGTATGAATTTTTTCTTTTTTTTGTTTTGTAATTTTATACTTAATACCTAGTTTATGTTTTAAATTGAAATTATTTCCGAGAAAATAAAATAAAATTAATTATTTAACTGGAAAGTAATAATCTTAATTAAGAAGCTTGAATTAAGAATTTGAAACCGGTAAAAAAATTAAAATTACATCATCAGTACAAATTAATTATTTATTATAATATAACCTAATGAAATTTTAACTAAATAAACGATGGTACGTTCAGAAAATATCGCAATCCTAAGTGATTGAGTTCAAAATTGGTCGCTTTCACGCTGTTCATAGGAATTGGGAATCCCTCAAACCTCTAAACCTCTTGGCTTACACCTTTACAAGATCAAATCAATTCAAGAATTGAAACTTCTTTATCATTGGGCTCTTATAAAGTTTGAAAAAAATCCTGGATTTTATTGGAAAATTGTCTTCAATGATGAAGTTCATTTTTGGATTAATAGCTTTGTTACTAAACAAAATATGCATTATTGGACAGCAACAAACCCACATATACTTCAATAGATTCTACTAAACCACAAAAAGTGAACGTATTTCATACCGGAAGTGTGATTGTACCATATGTTTTCATCGACGCAAATGATCACCAAAATTTGATCATCTAATGATTATTTTTGGCTCAGTGATATATGGTTTCATCGAGATAGTGCCGTTCAAACATTTGATCTATTGAATGGAAAGTTCGGTAACCGTGTAATCTCAAGAAATAGATTTCTTTTTATAGGGTGACGTTTTGTGAGGGAACCTAAGAAACGGCCACTATATCCAAAGAAGGCTGCCAGCACGTGAATTATTCACTCCCAGCACCAGGAAGTAGTGGCGAAACATAACGATACGAGACTCCTCTGACA